CAGTCCTGCCCTGGGGGAGCTGTTGTTCGAGACCCGCCGTCACACGCTGCAGATGCCATTGTCCCCGCAGCTGATGTGACGCCTCGCATTGTTGGGAGAGGATTAGCGGAGCGGGCGCATGTTGATGGCCCGCTTCTAATTTGCATCTTTAACGAAGTGGGAGCCCAGCCAGGTTCTGTTCTTTTGTGTTTACTTCCAATGATTACAAATAAATCTCGGCTGCCTTTGCTCCAGCTTCCTGGAATAAAAGGCATTCGGAGCCTGTTAACTCCGTAGTCGGGGCGAGTAGCAGAAGGAAAAGAGAAACCCCATTAGGATTAGGTGACTGTCATTAACAGTTTCTTCTCAAAGACAAGGGTGCTGGGGTGTTCCCTCTGCCCCTGTGACAGGTGCTTTTGGGTGGTAACTTCCCAGGATGGAGCAACACCCCGTCACTGCTGTGGGGCTTTGCTCCCGATGCGGGTGAGCTAATTTAGCCACTGAAAAGTGGGTCATCCAGCCAGTTTGGGACTGGTTTTGGCATCTCCATTTGTCATGTTGACAGGAAGCGTTGCCTCCAGGACAGAAAAGCAGTTTGGGGCTGAAGGGCCGTAGAAGTATTTACAAGTAGAACGTTGTGGTTTGCATAAGGAAGGGGGAGGGTTTGGGGTTGATCCAAACACGAACATCACCCTGAAGTCTCCACGCTTGGGGTAAGAAGTGGTCTCCTGGACTGCTTGGGTTATGCATTGACATTTTGGGGTCACCAGCATTCCATCCTCTGGGATATCTTGCAGAGAGGGGGTTGCAAGACTTGCTTTATGCCTCCAACTCTTCACCCACCATTTATCCTTCCAAACTAGTGCCGGAAAACTTGTGCTGACGTTGGACGCTGTATTTCCTTCACCATGGGGCAGATGGTGAGGGCAGCCCCAGGCTTTGCCCTCATAACTCGGCTGAAGCAGCAGCGATAGAAAGGTCTGTGACGGGGACAGGGAAAAACAGCGAATGAAGGTGGCACATCCAACACATAGGAGAAGTGCTGTCAGTGTCATTGATGGGGCCAGGCAGGACCCCGCTGCGGGAACGACACGGGGGTCTCTCCTAATAGATCCAGGAGGAGGGAGCCGATCGCTTTGTGGCGCCGAACACAAAGAGCGCGTCAGTGGAGTTATTTGTATTGTTGACACTAAGTGAAAGAATTCCTTGGCAAACTTCACAATTAGCATTTAAGGATGAGGAATTGGGGCAATTAGAGGGGAAGCGGTGCTGCGCCGGTGGCCCCCGGCTCCCTCCCTCGTGCATCTTCTTGTTCTGCTGTGTTCGGGTTCATCGCCCTCATCACTCCAGCAGCTCTTGGCCCCCCTGAGGGAGGGGATCAAGATGGGTCTTGGGATGTGGCATCTCCGGGAGGCCACATGTATCACTGTGTGCATCGCCAGCATCTGAGGCACCCCAACAAGCTGCTGTAGCAGAGAGAGGTCATGGTGGGAGGCAGCCAAAGGGCTGCACGTGGTGAAAAGTCTCTGCTCAAGGTCAGAGCATCTTAGGCAGAAGCTCTTCCCTGTGAGGGTGCTGAGGCGCTGGCACAGGGTGCCCAGAGAAGCTGTGGCTGCCCCATCCCTGGCAGTGTTCAAGGCCAGGTTGGACACAGGGGCTTGGAGCAAGCTGCTCTAGTGGCAGGGGTCCCTGTCCATGGCAGGGGTTGGAACTGGATGAGCTTTAAGGTCCCTTCCAACCCAGATCAGTCTGGGATTCTATGATCTCAAACTGAGTACGCTGTGGAGGTATTTGGAAGGGAAAGGGCAGAGAGGGTCTGAGTGTGGTAGAGATGGAGGAGCAGATGTGTTAGGTGGTATCACATGAAAAAGACCTGTAGAAGAGAATTAGTGTAAGGTGGGTGTCGGGGTTTGGGCTGACAATATCAGTCCCAAAATCTTCCCCCTGCCTTGCTGATGGTTTTTCTCCAGGTGAACTGCAGATCCAGGATAGGTTTATTTCCCTCCCATCTGACAGGCACTTTATTGTCTTTGGTCCCTTTTTGGACTCATGAGGCAGGGTTTCTTCTGGAGATGGATGTGGCGCCTTAAGGAGACTGTTAATGGGGGTTTGTCTTTGTTCTTAATTAGATCCCTTCAAGGGAAAACCTCCTGGCCCGCTTTATTCTCCAGCTTTGTCAGAGCCTGTCTGCTTTATCTAAACACTTTGCAGAAGTCTCTTTACCTGTTTGCTTACTGGAGACATTATCATAATCCTGGTCAATTGGAAAGAGGTAGCTAAGACGGCTCGGCAGGTGAGGGAGCTTAGCAGCTAATGGAGATCATTCTCCAAGCTAGGTAAAGAAGGTAGAGGGGTGTTGCTCACCTCTGGGTGTTGTGTATTTGCCTTTGAATCCTTTCTGTGCCAGCTGATGGATGATGGCTCTGTTCTGATAACTTGCAAGGAGGCAGAGGAGGGCTGGTTGAGAAGCAGGGTGGGTTGTCTCGTTCCTCACCACCTGCAGCTGCAGGGCATAACCCAAGCTGTGGTGGAGAGGAGCAGGATGCTCAGCAAGCAGAGCCAGAGGGATTCAGTCCCACGTTAGTTATTGGGTGGCAGCAATTGAAGAGTGCAATTGAGGGATGGGGAGAAGGAGCCTTCACGTCCTTGCTCTTGGCATGAATCTGTAGGAGTCTCCATTTGCTCCTACCCATTTACTCCGAGTGGTTTTGAGGCTGGTACCAGTCCCTGGGAGCTATGGGTAAGGGTGGGTGATGCTGTCCCTGCCCTTCCTTGTGTGTGTCCTCCCATGTTATGGGCACCCCCATGCACTTGGGATCTGAGCTGAAAATGGGAGCTATGAATGCAAAATGAGTGACTCCAGTCCTCAGGGGTCCCCGAGCACCCACATTTCCCTGGGAAGCTCACCCAAAATGTGTTGACATAGGGATGTGTTTGGTTACGGCACGAGCTCCTCATCCCTCTCACTCTAAACCCTTGTCAATGTGCTTCACCCCTAATGAGGGAACCCAAGAGCCCCTCGCAGGGCTGTAGCCTGGCTATTTATGTGAGCACAGACATGCAAGTTGCCTGTTCTACATATTGCTGCCCTGATTTTTCAGTGCACATGATGAATAATTTACAGAAGCCGTGTGTAAGTATCTCTTTATTATTCATTATAATGAAGTGAGACAGCAGTAATAGTCCACTAGACTGGAATCCCCCAGGGCCGAACTTAACTTGGCTCTGCTTAGCTCTCCCCCAGTTAATTTGAACAAAGGGAGGGCTCCGCTTCCAGACAAGGATGCTGCTTGCTCCGGCAGAGCAGAGCCAGCATCGCTGCAGAAACAGGGGCACGTCTGCGGTCTGGGCAGGCTCCTGGCATTCCAGGTGTGGAGAGCAATCCATCTTTCCCACCATCCCTACGTGATGCAGCTGGAGGAGACGTACAGCTCCAGCAAGGGGAGCATTATTCCTTTGCAGGAGGATATATGGCTCGTGGCTCCAAAGCCAGCGCCCGGAGGGACCCTGAAACATGCCAAGTGTCACCCCTTCCCTCCACCCGATTTATACTATCGATCGAGGTGACGCTTTGCCATCCCAGCAAGGGACGCATATAACACCCTGAAACCCCTGCAGGAGAGGTGCTGTGGTGGGGATGGGGACAGGGACAACCCACCAGCCCATCTCTGAATTTACAGGCATGTGGAAAGGGACTTGTTGTGAGGTTTTGATTGACTGGAGGTGCCTTTTCCTAGCGTCTTGGCTGCACAAAGCTGCTGGCACAAGCTCACATCAAGCCTGATTTTCATGGTTTGCTAGGGGAAAGTTTCCTTTCTGTGGTCCTTGGTTGGGAAAGATGAAGCTCCTGAGAGGTGCTGGGCTCTTCATTTAACCAAATCCTTGGTGGTTTTGCTGCTGTGGCAGCAGCAGAGAGGCCACAAGTAACAAGATGGAGAAAAATCTATCAGACGAAATGAAAAAGCAGTGTTCTGCAGGAACATTTTAATTCCCTTTTCCCCCTTCCCTTCCCTCTGTTCTTTGCCAAGCATAAGTCAGCACCACGGGCCGGAGCTGCCGCGTCTCAGAGCAGGGAGGGTGGGAGACAGGCAGGAAATAAATCGCAGCAACAACCGCGTTGTGTTTTCAAGGCACTTGCAGGATTTACAGCTGCTTGTCCAAATGTTCTCTTCTCTTCCCTGTGCACTGGCTCCAGCTGTTTCTCTTCTTCCCCTCTTCCTGTGTGTACTATGGCCCCTGTGCCCCGGCAGCAGGTGTATCTGTCACCCTGGGGGTGGCTCAAGGGCCACGCTGACAGGCTGAACTGTCAGCACATTGACAGCTTCATCTGGATGTCTTGGTATGGAGCAAGGGTAGATTGAGGAGGGGAGGTGGACATGGCTGAGATGAGATCCTCCCCCTCTACTAAAGCTTATTGAGGCCACACCTGGAGTGCTGTGTCCAGTTTGGGGCTTCTCAGTGTAAGAAAGCTACCGGAGAGGGTCCAGTGAGGCCACAAGGATGCTTAGGGGTCTGGAGGAGAGACTGTAGGAGCTGGGCCTGGTTAGTCTAGAGAAGGGCAGATTTAGAGTGGCAGAGCATGGGAACAGGCTCCCCAGGGAGGTTGTGGAGTTTCCTAACCTGGAGACATCCAAACCCACCATGGACACATTCCTGTGTAACCTGCTCTGGGTGACAGGGGACTGGACTGGATGATCTCCAGAGGTCCCTTCCAACCCTAATGATTCTGGGACTGTATGGGTATGGAAAGTCTGTGTAGCATGTGGAGATCAAGCAAAAAGGATTTTTGGCTCTGGTTCTCCAGCTCTGTATGAAAGAAAACTATGGTTTTTTTGGTGGACCTGTCATTTCTGTGATGACGTGGGACATGGGGACAGGGTCGCATGGCCACGGCGTGTGCCATCTCCATGTCTGCCCATGATAGGGAGCTCCTGTTGTGCTCGTGTCTGCTTTTTGGGAATGGGGGCGCTCATTGTGTGATCTCCTCCAGGTTTGTGACCATCTTGTCTCTTCCTTTGCAGATGTACTGTTGATGACCGGGTCACACGGGTAGCGTGGTTGAACCGCAGCACCATCCTGTACGCCGGCAATGACAAGTGGTCTATAGACAACCGTGTGGTCATCCTCTCCAACACCAAGACCCAGTACAGCATCAAGATACACAATGTGGATGTCTATGACGAAGGTCCCTACACCTGCTCCGTGCAGACAGACAATCACCCCAAGACTTCACGCGTCCATCTCATTGTGCAAGGTAGGTATTTACGTGACTCATGCTGTTGCTGCATTGACTGTTGGATATGGGAAGCTGTATGGACTTGGGAAGGGTTTGGAAGTGCCATCTTGGTGATGGAGGTGTAGGAATCAGACCAACATCCATTGCTTCAGGGATCAAGTGGTGTGGGAATGGATGTGGACCAGTGCCGGCCATGCCAGGACTGGATGATGACTTGTGTCATCTCAGCCTCGCTGTGTTGTATGGACATCATGTATAGCAGAGCTCACCTAAGGACTGAAATAGGGTCTGGTGTGTCCTGCTGGGAATTTGACCCACCTCCATTGCTTGGGACCATGTTGCTTGGGAAGCAGTCAGCAAGGCTCCTGGGCATGCATATGAAGATGCTTTAGGAGGGCAGAAAACAAAGCGTGAGGCTCTGTGAGTTTGGGAGAGGGAACAGTTTGCATGAGAGGCTCAAAGTCATTGCACGGCCATAAAGGGCTTTTGCAAAGGGCTTTGGAGGTTGGTGTAGCAGGTCCTGTTGGGTTGCAAAGCAGAGTTTCTCTGCTGGGCAGAATCTGGGTACCAGCAGCCCTGTAGTACTGTGGTGGATTCCACTCTGTATCCTTGTGGCTTTACATCAGCTCCCGGCTTTTGTCCGGCCTCTAGATTAATTTTTCAGAGTTAGTGTTAGTTCAGGTTAGATAAAGATAATGAAAGTTTCCTAATCCTCTTAAAGAAGATTTATCTGGCTGAGTAGAAAGCTCTCGGAATACAATAAAGCGTGTATAAAACCAGGACCTAATCTTGCCTTTAATTTCAAACAGCTGATGGGTATTGATTTAGCAATGAGCAAATCTGAAACATTTCTCAGCCTCGACATGTCTCTGAGAAGCTTCCCCCCCTCCTCGCATATGTATGTATTTATATATCCTTCTCATTTGGAAGAGGCAGGGTTTGATTTAGGCCACCCAGCCAAGGGATTTTCCTGCTTGGTCTCAGCAGGAATGTGTTGGAGAGCCCTGAGAGAGGGAACATTTGCTTTGGGAAGAAGTCTGCATCAGGGACTGTAGCGATAGGACAAGGGGTGATGGGTTCAAACTGAAACAGGGGAAGTTCAGGATGGAGATAAGGCAGAAGCTCTTCCCTGTGAGGGTGCTGAGGCGCTGGCACAGGGTGCCCAGAGAAGCTGTGTTCAAGGCCAGGTCGGATACAGGGGCTTGGAGCAAGCTACGCTAGTGGAAGGGGTCCCTGCCTGTGGAACCAGATGAGCTTTAAGGCCCTTTCCAACCCAAACCAGGCTGGGATTGTATGATTCTAAGAGCAGAGCTCAGCTCTGCTGGGAGCATCCCCTTTCACTGGGCCTTTTCCTCCTTTTTGAGCTGCATGTGAGCAGTGTCTGTGAAGTTTAATCTGTTTATCCTGTCTGCTCTCTAAGCGCGCTAATCCGTCCTGTCAACACAGGGAAGTATCCGAGTGCTTTGCACCTCATGGAATCAGGTGAACTGGCAGCTCCCGCTCCCCTTGTCCCATTTTCAGAGCAGGGCTTGCCATGCAGGCACTTCCCAGGCTTGGATGAGTGAAGGCGAGGGATGCTTTGCATCCAGAGCATCTGTCTGGAGCTGAGACAGTCCTGGCTGTTCCTGGAAAGGTTCTTCCCTGCTGTGGGCATGTGGCACATCTTATTGAACAGCTTCTGTGCAGCAATGACTGTGGTTCTCAGCTGTGTTGCAGAGAGGAGCTGGGGTTCTGTGGTGATGCAGGTACAGGTCAAGTGCTCTGTGCTGAGAAGCTTCTCTATTTCTCTTTTGATGCATTAAGATCAAGCCACAGGGTTTACTGAAGTGGGGCTGCTGTGAAAGTCCATCTGTAGGTACCACCTTGCTGTCCTGTAGATGGTGGTGGTGGCCCAAGCAGCAAATCCTTCCCTTCTCTGTCCCTGCTCCAGCCCCAATGCAGTTCCTTGATGAATAAAACATGCCTTCTGACCAGTCAGCAACCGTGTTCAGGGCAGTTCATTTCTATTCGTGTTGTGCAAAACTCTGAAGTTGGCTGGATGGACTATTGGCTCTTTGTGTTCAGTTGGGTTTTAATGGTGTTTCTGCCTCCCCCCCGCCCAGCAACCCGGTGATAAATCTGCCACGGAGCTGCAGTCAACAGTAAACGTGTCTCTTAGTGTTGCTATTAATACACCTCTTGGATTGGATCATAGCAACAGCTGTTAACAAGGGTTTATAAGAGTGTAGGTGGCCGGAAGCCAAAGGGGTTTGTTTTGTCTCCCTTTTCCTCCTTTTTCTCGGGGGCCACCTCGTGATGATGGGATGGAAGCTTTTAGGAACACACGTGATGTTTGTGGCTTGCCAGTGTGTTTGGGGGAGTTAGGCATACAGAGAGAACTGGCATTGAATCTCATGTAAGTAGAAGATCATAGAAGCATCATAGAATCCCAGACTGGTTTGTGTTGGAAGAGACCTTAAAGCTCATCTAGTTCCAACATCCAGGGTTCACCTAGACTAGAGCAGCTTGACTCCAAGCCCCTGTGTCCAACCTGGCCTTGAACACTGCCAGGGATGGGGCACTGTAGACCACAGGCAGGATACACCCATGCCTCCTTGGTGTGCACTATTTAAGGACTTGGGGTGTATTTCAGCCTGAAAAGTGGACTTCAGGGAGGATGTTTTGGTTAAAGCTGTGGCTTTTGTAGTCAATGTCCTCCTTGTAGTAGACACTGTAGGGAGGAGAGAGTATGTGCTGAAGTGGCATGGCATAGCATAGCTTTGCTTTGGGATCCACACAGCTCCCTGGGTGATGGAGCTTTCTGTGCTGAACACTGTAACAGTCCATCCCTACCTGACAGTGGTCTTTGGTATCCCTCAGATGTCCTCTGCTGCTGCTTTACGTAGTGAAGCCTCCTTTGTGTGGCCTTAATCCTACTCACCATAGATTCCTCTTTAAAACCCCTCCTGGCTGTCAGCATTGTTACTGGGAGCTGCTGGTCGGTGCAATTCATTTTCCCATCCCAGTATTTGCTGCTTTCCTCATGCTGAGAGCCAGGATGGGTTTCAATGGACCGTGGCCTTTGTTTTCAGTAGGGAAGTTGTGGTCATGTGGATGGCTTTCCAAGTGCACCTAAGGATGCTCCCTAGGGCTGCCTCGTGTCACTTGTTGCATCCGTCACTTCTCAAAGCATCACTGATCCACCTGTAGCTCCTCACCAAGTGTCTCCAAAGCAAACTGAATCTTTCTTTCTGCCTTCTGATAACAACCAGCTCCTCAGGTCTCTGACAGGGCAAATCCCCCACCCCTTGATGGCCCCACTGAGCTCTTCTCTGATGTAGACTGAGCTCTGGGCTCCCCTTGGCACCGCAGATTTCAGGATGGCTCCAGTTAAGCTCACTTTTATCCCGCTGCCTTTGGTATCCAGGCAAGAGCTGAGGCAGTGACACTTATTAAAACCTTACCAGGAGGCTGATGGGTGTGTGGTGAGCTGAGGAAACGCAGGGAGAGGCTCAGCTGCCTTAGGTTGTAGGAAAGAGCCAGTAATAGGCTGTAAGCATAGGAAGTGTTTATTAGAAAACATATTTTAACTGCTTGGTGTTTAAGACTTGGTGTGAGGAGGGGGTGTGTGGAGTACAAAAATAGCCTGGAGAAAGGAAAAGGGGAGAGAAGGGAATGCTTGCTAGGTAGGGACCTCCAGAACGGGCTTAGCTCCCTCCTCATTGGATACTTAAGCCCTTATCAACTGGTGTGGGGTTTTTGATCTACCTAAGAAGTCTCTATCACAGAGGGCAAGAGATAACAGTCTAAGATGACCATATCTAAGTATGATAGAGAGGACGGGCAGTCAATGTGATGCTGTTGGTAGATTCAGGTTGCTTTATGTCGTGTGCTGGGCTGGCAGGATGCGGTATGGATGGGGAAGCAACCGCCCTCCATCCTGCTGGCTGCAGCAAGAGGGTGTCTCAGGAGGAATGCCGCTCCTTGCACCGAGGTCTCCAAAGGCTTAGGGCTCAGAGCAGGTCCTCTTGGCATTTTGGAACAAATGCACAGATATTACTGAAAGGTGGCTGAGATCTTCAGTCAGGGTGACAAAGATGTGAGATTTGTCCCCTCTTGGCAATGGAAGTTGTCCTCAGTGGGGTGGCAAAGTGGCCAGTGATGTTTGGGCATGTATGTATTCCTTTGCCTCTGGGTCTAGCCAAGTGATTTGAAGCTACTTAGGCTGGAAAGGCGTCTTCCTTGGCATGTCTGTAGTGTTTATAGTCACGTTTTATGTCCTTCTCTGGGGACATCTGAGTGGGCATCACATCCCTGGACCATGCAGTGGTGCCATGCAAGGTGTCATCACACCAGCAGCTCACGGGGAAATGCATTTCCTCCCGAGATGGAAGCAGAGTCGGATGTGGCATTCAGGCCCTTGCATGTGTTTGCAGGACCAGAAGCAGAGCTTCCTTCCACCCTGGAGCTGATGGTATCTTGTGAGAGCAGGAGAAAGGAGGCAGTGCTAGAGGCTTACCTGGAGGTCTGGATGCATTTCTTCAGCATCCCACTCTGTTTGGCTATTGTGAGCCTAAAAGGGTAAGAACAGGATGCTCGGGAGTATGGAAGGATATAAGTGGTAGTGCTGGACCTGAACCAGGGTGGTACAGGTTGAGGTTGTGGCTGTTTGGTGAGGAATCCCAGAGGTGATGGGCTCAGTGGAAGGGAGCCCCACTATGGCTTCCAAGTCTCCCTGAAGAGCATGGCAGGGTTTGGAGAGTGATGCTTGTGCTGCCAAAGGGGGTGGCTGATGGCCACAAGTATCACCTAGCACAGATGGAAAGGAATCCTTGTGATAAGCAGTGTCCTGTCTTAGGATGGGAAAAGGGTCCAAAAGAGCAACCAGATCCATATGACACCATTCTTCCCTCATTGAAGCAGGAGAGGATGGGCCAGAAGGCAAAGGCAGGCAAATAAGGAAGGTGCAGCAGTGAATTTATAGCTGAAGGAAGACTAGAGAATATCTGGAAGGAATAGCAAAGATTGAAGGGAGAAGG